GGCCACACAGTATATATACCCCACACACCTCCATGCCACCATTCTCTGCAGAAGGCAGCCACAGATGCAGGTGAAATGTCAGGAATACATTCTTCTAGAACACAACCTCATAGCCTGAAAAAAACACAAAAATCTATAGTTCAAGCTAAGTATTATGGAGCAGAAATGGGAAAAAGGAATGGAGACAAGTACTTTTGGAAATAAAACAAAATGTACAAAAATGGGCAGCGTAGCCTAAATGAGGGACAGGATGTCTGCAGAGTGTTTCCAGATTTGCGGTGTCTTGGGAGAAGCAGTTGTGGTAGGACTCTAAGAGGTCTCTCCAGCTGCTTGTTTTCATGGTACACCACAAACAGGTGTTGTTCTGCCAGGCTGCAAAGGTAATTAGGGAGGGCATCATTATTTGCGTCATTTGATGATGATGATGATGACGACGATGCTGATACTGATAGGGATGATGATAACGCAAGATCCTGGGCACAATTTTCTGAGTAGGGGCAAGAGGTCAGTTGGGGATAACTAGACAGGTTGGGCAATCCCAAAACTCACTCGGGGGGAGACCCATTTATCACAGTGTCAATTAATAAGACTGCCCCTTGATAGGGAAGAGACTCATTCACCTGGAGAGGAATTTGGGTTCATCTTTTGTGGAACGGTGGCCAGCGTGGAATCTGGGCTCTTTCCATTGTTGGAGATTTGCTTGCACAAGACAGAGCCAGTGTAAGTGAATGTGTGTGTCTGTCCAATCCTCCTATGTGCCACAGAGCACCCCAAAAATCTACAATGTCAGACTACAAAATCCATCTCCACTTGGTTTCTGGGCAGCTCTTAGTGTAGGAAGGGAAGTGCCCCTAAATTCCAGTTCTACTGCCAGCATCACTTGGATTTTGGCTATAGTGGCTTACTTTGTCGTACCATGTACATTACAAAGACAACCATTATTGTACCCTACTCTCCAGTAAGTCTGTCCATCCAAGGCCTTCCTCTCCAACCCCTTCCTGAGAACCATCAACTAATGGCAGAGCGATCATTTAGCAACCTAAGAGGGCGATACAAGGCAGAGGAATAGTCTTGGTTGACTAATGCTGATCATCACCTTGCATAGCCTTCAATTGTCCCAGTTCCAGTTAATCCTCTGTCATCCCATCTTTTTGCTGCTATTAAAATGCCCCAGTTTCTCTCTTTTCCTCCCACTTTCCCCTTTTATCCTCACCTTACTTCAATTGCTGCAAACTGAGTTCACAGCGCATAAGCAGACCACACTCAGTTAACTCAATGGGGGCAGACTGAGGATGGACAGAATCTTTTCCTTCCCAGTTGGCTCAGGAAAAAGCAAAATGCTGCAGCCTAGCATGTTTTCCCTCATTAATAACTGTTGTCATTTGACCACACAGTGGACTTTGCTTGGCCATATGTGGCCCACTTTTCATCGTCTGTGAAATGTCAGAAGGTATGCGCTTGATATTCTCACTTGATGTTTCTTTTTTTCTGGGTGGTTTCCCTTTGTAACTTTTGAAGCTCTCTTGGGTGATGAGGAGGCAAGGCTGATGGCAGTCGTTTGGAGAGGTTTTATGCCATTGGGAAGGAGGTCCATGTGCCTGA